GCGTTCTTTTTATGGACGCTCTCGGTTTAACTTTTTCTACGACTTTCGTTTAGATCGCTAAGGCTAAAACTCGCTCTATCGTAAATTCACTATTTATGCTTCCCGATGTCGTGTCGGTTCCGTCGCAAAACTTCGACGAGTCATAACTTCTTCGTTATAACTCGGATTTCGGCGTCTTCATATCCCCGGAATCCTTGTTTCGACTACTACAACTTTATGTAAAGATATCGGGGCTTATCTCACACTTTAATTTTTGACGCTTATTTTTATTCTTTATTTATTATACATTTATAAATAAATAATAAGCATATAAATTCACATAATTCACATAATACTCAAATATTTCATCTTTATTACATCAAAAGAGTTACAATAGTTGACCTAGACTATGGTTATTTTTGATGATGAGAATGAGAATGATCTTTACGTCTTTTATATATACAAGAGATGCACATGGGTTGTCCTTATAGGACAAAATGTTGTAACTGTTGTTCCATTGACATCTTATTCTATTGTTTATGAAACGGGACAGATAATTACAACTTTTGTCTGTACACAACAATTTCAGTCCAATATAGGTCAAAAACAATATAAATCATCATACCTTCCTACATCATGAAGCAACTTTTGTGTGTTTTTGTGTTTATATATACAAATTATTCACATACAAAGTAAGTACAAGACTTTAGATACATGCAAGTAGCTCCGTCTAACACAGAGTATGTTACAAAAATCATATAATGATCAAATAATAGTAGCACATAAACGTGTACATAGAAATGAAACAATTTATTTTTCTGTCAACCATACTTGAGAAAACCCAAAACTGAGCAAAATACAATGTGACTTTTTTATAATCCACCCTGTAAAAATTGTCTGGATTTAATTTTGTATATAAAAAATCAGTATATTAACATTATACAACTCGTTTATAAAATAAAATGAGTTAAATCACAAACAAGAAAACTAAAATAACAATGATGGAAACAAGATGATAAACCTTCGTCCATAACTGCATATACTAATATTAATATATCCATAGAACCATGTCGTGACTAGATTTCCTAACTTGGCAATTGTACAAAATTTTCGAATATATAACATGTATAAAAAACTGCAAAATCCATTAATATTGAAGTTGTTGCTTAAATTTATTTCTAAGTTGAGATAATCTCCTTTGAAAAGGATGCTTTTGATCCTTAATCTCCATTTTCTCCATATAAAACACAATCCTCTTCAAGGTTTCAACCACTTGTTCACTTTCATCACCAAATTCTCTCTCTTGTATCCTTAAATTCCTCTTCAACATCTCTAATATCTCACCATCATCTCTTCCAACTCTCTTTTGAATGCATATCAAACACTCCAACGCTTCCCCTGAAATTTAAAAAATTAATAATATTCAAATACATTATAAATTCAATAACTATTCAAACTTTTTCACTTGTTACACATCAAAAAAAATTAAAAAAAAACAATTACCAACTGGTAAAGAGGAATTTCCAAATGCTTTTTCACGAATGTGTAAGACTTTAAGTGCAAGTTGTTCAGCTTCTTCATCTTGTTTAAGGTTGTAAAGAGTTACTGCCAGCTGTAACATAGGAAAGGTGGTGGAGGGGTCATCGGGGCCCACAGTTTTTTTCATGATGTTTAAGGTTGATCTAAGGAGGCGCTCTGATTCCACATAGTTTTTGGAACGTGAATATGATGTTGCCAGATTTGTAAGGTGAGTTATGTAACTTGGATCCTCTTCTCCTTTGTATTTTTTAGTGATGGATAAGCATTCTTCTAGAAGTTTCCTCCCTTCCTTTGCTCTAATAATAAAAATGTTAATAAATAATTACAACTTTTGTTTTATTCACATCAGTTATAATACCTTCCTACAACATGAAGCAACTCTGCCAATTCTACCCTTGTCTTCTCCAATACAATATCATCTAAATTCATATTTTCTGAATGCTCCATCACCTGAAGAGCACTTGTGTACAAGTCAATGGCTCCTTCTGCATCTCCTGTTATCAACAAAATTACACAATTTTTGAGGAAATTACATTTTTGGTCCCTGAGTTTTAATGAATCTAGAAAAAACAAAATAACTTGCCTTTTGCACACTTTGCATTGGCTAAAGAACACATAGCCATTGCAACTCTATCATCGTCTTTTCCATATAAATTGGTATATATGCCTACAATTCTAAGCTTTTAAGAGTAGAAATGAGTGATTTGAAAAGTTAAAATAAGGTACAAATTGAGTTTTATTATATAAGCGATAAAAAATTACCTCATAAAAGTATTTTCGGCATCTTTGACTTTTCCTTCTTCGATTAAAAGATTGCCAAGGGCATTCAAGGGTACAACTAATTCCTTGCTTTCTGCTCCCATGTTAGATTCCAATATGGAAATTGTGCGATGATAAATGTCAATTGCCTTTATTGCCCTTCCAGCAGAACCAAGAGCCTTGCCCATTCCCAATAATGGCATAACAAGAGATTTACTATTACTTCCTAAAAAAAGTTAATACAAAACCCAAATTACCATATTAACCCCGGAAAAGGAAAACAAAAGTAAAACTTTGAAATACAAAGTTGTTGTAAGAGCAAAAGAATGAAGTCAATAAGCAGCAAAGCCAACAAGGGGTTTGATTAAAAGTTACATAACTATCAAAAGAACAAATTTGAGACATACCATGATTTTTCTCCAAAATTGTAAGTGCTCTCTTGTATAGAAGCATGGAATTCTCAAACCTCCCTAAAGCTGAATTCATACTCCCCATGTGTGTCAGTATCGAATCAAGAAGAGGCTCGTCATCACTCAAATCATGTACAATCTCATTTAACTAAAGTTTTAGAAGAAAAATATATAGTTAGATAGATAGATAGATAAAAAAAATGTTTTTTTTGTTATAAAAAATAGTGTAGTACCTACCATATTCATGATAATGTCAACCATCTTGAAGTCTTCAATAGCCATGTAACCCAAGGCTATGACATCCAGAATAGCAGCTTCTTCTATACTTTTCCTTCCTGCAACCATTTGTTCCTTCACAGCTTCATAATTTGCTTCAAGTAGATCAAGAGCATCACTTTTGTTCCCCAAACTTATCATGCTTTTGATTTCAGAAAACAGTTCTTCTAACATCATTTCAAAATCATCTCCCAAACGTTTGCTTCAGCCATTAAAGAACATATTAACTGTGCTAGCATCTATGAATAGTAACCTAAAGGCTAAAACTAGAACCCTAATTGTGCAAAAGTATAAATGTCAAGTCTTTCAGCAAACTACATATAAAATGAGCAAAAACAATGAAATGTAACATGGTTTGTCAAAACAAAACGATGATGAGCTTGTACCTTTGAGATTTATCTGGATCAGTAACAATGGGAGAAACTTGATTTTCATTTGAGGTGATGCCTACATGCAATGATTCAGTAGTAGCATAACATCTAAACATCTTACTAGGCACCACATACAGCCTCATTCTCGTGTTACATGTTGCTTTTGGGGGATGAAGATAGAAACTAGGAATGTGTATCTGTAACAAGTCTGAGAAAATGCTTGGACAAAATCCACTCATCCTGAAAATTTCAAGAGTGCAATTCTCATATGTATCAAACACAACAGGACAACATATGATTCAGTAGTAGCATAACATCTAAATAACTCTCAACATGTTAAGAAGTATAACCAATAACTTCCAACTTAAAAATTGACATGGAATTCAGAATCGAAACAGCTCATTATCATTTTTGACGTTGAAAATTAGCACGTCTGAACTCAATGTTCCGAAGCATCTCTAGATTTCAATAGATATTTATTGCAAGAAAATTTACACAAAATTTTCAAGTTCTAATTCTAAAATGAACACAAGTGTTGGTAATTGAGCTGCGAATTGATGAAGATAGTCGAAATCACAAAATCATCAAAATCAACAACACGTTAACAAAATAGAACATCCTCAATGAGATAACTCCAATTCGAATCAAAATTACATACACTGATATGCCTAAATTACTTACCTTCGAAAAATTCAGGACAAAATTGGCAATAACTCCGACCACCGAGAAGACTAATGCAGATAAGTAGCAAAAGAAACAGGGTGTGAGCACGCATATGAGCGTGGGAGACACGCCTACACTTATTTGTAACAGGTTCGACGAGAATACGAGAAGGAAAAGTGGTTTCGTGCTTTTAGACGGTGGCGTATGGCGGTTCTGTGGCGAACTGTTATCTCGTCCGGTGTCTCATGTCGTATAATGCTTCATTGGGCTTCATGGGTTTTTTGATATTTGAGAAACTTCAATGTGAGCCAAACTATATCCAATGGGCTCGTCAGATACATGTCCAGTGGGCTGGTGCTTGGTCAACCGAAACATAGGTTTGGATCCGATATTAAATTTTATATTAAATATAAAATAATTCGTAACATCAAAAATTTCTAATCACCAAATTGTATTCAATTTATATGAGTTTTCAGAATTACGTTTTATAAAGAATTACGTTTTATAAAGGTATTATCAAATTACAAAACTTTCTAATTGATATTTTATTTTATTTATATTGTAATGTATTAAAATGTTGTTGGAATTTTGTTTTGCAGATAAGAACCAAGATGTGGAAGGATCGGGCAGTGATGACACAGAGAAGAATGGATGGTAGTCCGTAGATTGTTGGATTATAGAATAGGAAGCGGTGGGGAACATGGAGAAAAGTGTGAATGGGCGGTGGGTTGTTTGAGGAGATAACACCTGGCCATTACGTGCCATCTAGTAGATAAAATCAGATGAATAAAAGGCAATTCTTGGAGAAAATGAATAAAAACAAACTAAAAAAAATAGAAGTGGTCCAATAGGAAGCAAGTCCGTTCACCAAGAACTTCTAAATTAGTATGTATATAAATAATAATAATAATAATAATAATAATAAACCACTAAAAGCACCTATAAAATTAAGAAAGAAATCATAAAGGTGTTAAAGCTTAAACTAAAAGTAGATGGAACTTCGAAAAATGAGACAGAAGCAAGTTTAAACAAACTTGTTATTATAGACTAGTTGCAAATTAATAATTTTTGTTATGTATACGTTCCAACAAGTTAGTTTTAAGTTTGGATACATTTATGCAAGTTGGTTTTAATGCGTATTTAAATATATTATATTTTAAGTCTCCAACATCTAGTAACTCAATCGATGATGATGAGTTGCCAATCGAATATGAAATACTACGTCTTAAAGTCGGACAATGACGTCTTGTTGATACGACTGTGTTAACAATGATTGATGATTATCAACGTGTAAAACAACGAATGATAATACTGGAAATCTCATTACCGCCTTCTACAACTGAGGAGCGGAGAAAACTAACATTGTGTAATATGCAAATGTTCCTCATTACGATTATTTGAAGATATATTGATATACGACAATTTGTGGACACAACGGACATCATCGAAGAAGCACGTATGACAACTACAACAATATAAGATCGAGTCCAAATGACGAATAATGGCTTCAGCCTAACTGAGACCTACATGGAATTGTTTGGGGATGAGCAGCGGGACAAACCCGGACCGAATCGTCCTGAAGATCGAAAACCGTGATTTACCTTACCCGAAAACCGGATTTGGTTAGGTGTATCGGGTTCGGTTTTAGTTTGGTTCGGTTTTAGTTTGGTCCGATTTCAAGTACCAAACGGGGTTTCGAGTTTTGAACCAAATTAGACTTTGGCAGTGTTGTTTACACAGGCGGATTCAATGTAGAGCCTGGATGCCCCTCAAAAATTTTCCAGTAGTGTAAAACCCGTGTGATGGTTTAGATCGAGTGTTACAACAACTTTCTTCTCAAGTCCTAACTATTGCGGACAAGAGAGGGAATCTCGACTGATCTCGGGATTTACAACCAAAAAGAAGGAAGTTGTGACATCCCCAAATTCACGGCCAGAAAAGACCGGTTTAATTTATGCTTTTAAAATAATTTCAGAGT